ACTTGTGCAAGGAGGTCTGCAGATGAGCCCGGAGGACGCAGTGGGCAAGAGAGGAGGAGTTAGCATAGCGATAGGTTAGAGGCAGCCATAGCTGCCATAGCTGTAGTTAGTAGTGAGTGTGTGTGTGTGCTCGAGTGTTAGAGTGATTCGTGTGGGATATCGAGGGTGATCCAGTGTATGTGAACAGTGAGATGTTTGGGCGCTGAGGTCGCCATAGCCAATTGGGAGTGAACTCGTATCTGAAAACCATATCTCTGAATTTTGAGTGGGCGCATGTCGCCAATATGCTGCGTTAGTGTGTACATGTGTGAAAAGTGTGTTTGAAAACGAGTCTAATTGTACGTGTGACGTCGAGGCTGCACTGTTTGAAGGTGACATTGTACTGCATTGACTTATTGCCATACTTGCGGTGTGTGACGACCCAATCGACTTCTTGGTGACCATCCATGGAAGGAGGGTATTGTGATCACCAGCCCGGGAAGTCGTCGGTCTTGGCTGGTGTGTATGTAGCCAGCTTGGAGGTGAGGAATACCGGGTGGACCGGTAGATGCGGCGGGATGTCAATCATGAATGATGGGCCATCGTCCTGGTTGTCCGCGGCTGATGTGACGGTGTATGGTCCAAACCACTTGGGGAGGAGCTTGCGCGAGACATCTTGTTCAAGTGCAAACTCCTCAGAGGCAACCCATACAAGGTCGCCTGCGCGGATAGGACATGGCACACAATGCCGATTAGCTTGCTGCTGAATGGGGACTTGAGGCTTTTGCATGTTTACGTGGGCTTTCACCAGCAAGTCCCTGTACTTCCGAACGGAGGCGGGAGAGCAAGGGGTGTCAATGTTGGCTGCCCGATGGAATAGAAGATCTGCGAAGATACGACCTTTCCGACCACCATGGTGCAAATCGAAGGGAGTTACTCCAATCGCCGGATGGAACGAAGTGTTGTAGGCAATTCAATGTCGGGGAGGCAGTCAACCAAATCTTTCTTGTCCGGACGGAGGAGCGTACAAAGCATCACTTGAGCGGTTTGATGTGCCCACTCCGTTTGCCCATCGGATTGTGAGTGCTGAGCTGAACTCAGTTTCATCTCGGTGTTGGATTCCTTCATGAGAGAGGTCCAAAAAACCAACATGAATCGAGTGCCGCGACCACTAGTGATGTCTTCCGGAATGTCGTGGCCGCAAATCCAACCGGTATGCAAGAGTCTCTCGAGCTCGGGAGCCATTGCATGATAGTTGCAACGAAGAAACCGCGCGTACTTACTCAGTCGATCAACGACCCTGAGGATACCGGCGTCCACGAGGCGATCTCGTGGGAAGAGTCCGGTGACGTCCATGGCAATAGACAATCCGGGTTCCCGAGGGATCGGCAACGGGCGCAACTCGCCGTACGGGTTGTGGTTGCGGGACTTGTTGCATTGGCAAACCTCGTAAGATTCGCAATACGGTGTGACGTAGGTGATGACGTCGGACCATCGAAATCGTTAGCGAACTCGAGTAATCGTCCAATTAATTCCGAAGTGTCTCGTGAGCCACGAATCGTGGTAGTCACCAAGGAGGCGAGTCTGTAATCCACGGTCGTCTGGGATGCATAACAAGTCCTTGCCTTGTGAATGGAGAAGCAAGTACCCTTCGACGATGCGGTGGTGGCTAGCCGACAGGTGGTCCGAAAAACTTCGCTCGTAGAAAGTGCGGTAGTCTGGATCTATGCGCGCACAAAATGCTGATGTTGGTCTTCGTCGAAGTTGAAGGTGTGGTGGATCAATGTGCAAAGGTCGGCTCTTCGTGAAAAAAACGTCCACCTCTCGATTGGAGATACCCGAGATGTGCTTCAGCGTGAGGTTGAATTGGTCGATGAAGTACATCCATCTTCTGATCGTGCCATTCACCGTGTCTTGCATCTTGTAATAGGTCAATGAGTTGTTGTCTGTTACCCAAGTAAACCTACGACGCCCGAGGACGAATTGTCGCAAGCGTTTGAGTATTGTCACGAAGGCCAGCAACTCCTTCCCCCCGTTATCAAGCGAGTTGATGGGAGGCAACCATTGGCTGAAGTATTCAACCGGGTGCCAGTCTACGCTGTCGTGTTGTTCCAACACTGCGCCAATTCCATAGCCGTTAGCGTCGGTAGTCACTCTCGTAGGCAAAGTCGGGTCGTAGATGCTCAAAACGAGAGCCATGAGCATTGTCGTCTTAAGCTTGTGGAATGAACTCCGGACTTTATCGGTGAAATGGAACGGCACCTTCGGAGACTGAAGTCGTGAAAAAGGTGCAGCGATCCGTGCATATCCGTCGATGAAGCGTTGATGGTACCCGACCAATCCCATGAAGGAGCGAACCTCCGTGGTGATGGTGGGTTCCGACCATTCTTGGATAGCCTGAATTTTGTCTGCGAGCGGACGGATGCCTTGGGCATCACAAAGTGACCCAAGTACTCGAACTCTTGTTGAGCGACATCGCACTTGGCTCGGCTGGCCTGGTACTTGGCCTTACGTAGCATCTCCAAAACGGTGCATAGGTGCGCGAGGTGCTCGTCCAAGGCTCGACTATAAACCAAGATGTCGCCGAGGTAGATAAGCACAAACCGGTCCAACAAGTTGCGGAACTCCGTCGCCAGTGGCGCTTGGAAAGTAGTCGGGGCATTTGTGAGGCTGAATGGCATTACAACCCATTTGAAGTGCCCATACTGTGTCTTGAACGCGGTCTTGTACTGATCTCACAGATGGATCTCAATTTGGTGATAATCGAATTTGAGGTCCAACGTCGAGAAGCACGTGGCACCGGCCAAGTGTTCGAAAAAATCGTCGATGCGTGGGAGCGGGCCTGCATTCTTCACGGTTTGCACGTTTAGCTTGCGGTAGTCAATGCATAGCCGCAAGTCCTTGTTCTTCTTCCGGACGAAGAGAACGGGTGCCTCGTAGGGCGAGGAGCTAGGGTGAATCCAACCCTTTGCAATGACGTCGCCGAGTTGCGTACGAAGCACCTCAAGTTCCTCCTTGCTCATGCGGTAGATACAACCTAGCGGACATACGACCCCATCCTAGAGGATGTTCTCGTGGCAAATAAGCCGATCCGGTACGATTTCGGCGACGGCTTCGAAGACGTCGCTGAAGGAGTAAAGAAGCTCTACAATTTGTGGGTTCGGTGGCACTTCTAACATCAACTCGTTCGATGGAAGGAATGGCACGCAAGAAGATTGTGTGTTCCCAGTAGTGAGTCTTTGCGTAGTTTATTTTTAGGGGAATGTCATGATGCAACTGGTCATTTTGGCTATAAAAAGACTTCAGCTAACTTAGTGCAAAAGTTTTGGTGACCCACTATGATGCAAAATGCAAAAAAGTATGTTGAAACTTGCCAGGTCTGTCAAAGGGACAAACCTAGGACTCAGGCTCCGCTTGGGCTCATCAAGCCCTTGCCGATTCCCGAACGACCTGGTCAAAGTGTGTCCATGGACTTCATGGATACTCTTGTGACCAGTAAGTCTGGCAAAAGGCACATCTTCGTAATAGTGGACCGCTTTACTAAGTATGCAAGACTAATCACTATGCCAGAAACTTCTAAAACGGTCTATGTCATCAAACAGTTTCAAGATAACTGGGTCAGGGATTTCGGACTACCTACGTCAATAGTAAGTGACATGGACGTAAGGTTTACCAACAAACTGTGGCAGTTGACCGCTGAACAGATGGGTACCAAGCTCCAAATGACGTCAGGGAATCACCCTGAGTCAAATGGCCAAGCAGAACAGATGAATCGGGTAGTACAGCACCTGCTTCGGCATTATATTAAGCCAAGCCAGGATGACTGGGACGAGAAGTTACCTCTCGTCGCCAGCCTGTACAACCATGTTGTGCACAGTACTACTAGTATGACCCCCAACCAGCTACACCTTGGTTGGAAGCCCAGAACTGCACTTGATTTTCTGCTGCCAGAAAGGCAACCCACTGCAGCACCTGGCAGCATAGAATTTGTTGTTAAATATGAACAGATGCTGCAGCAGGCCGTTGAACACATTAGGAAGTCTCAGGAGGTTATGATCGCATCCGAGAATAAACACAGACGGCCCTCTAACTTTCAGGTAGGCAATAGAGTCTGGGTAAAGTCATCTGAACTGGGTCAGGAGATGGGGATTTCACGAAAACTAATGCCACAGTACTTTGGGCCATGGGGCCCTGGGAGATCTTGGACATTGTAGGGGATCAATTGGATGGGCCTTCATACGTGATTCGTATTCCTGCGCACTTACGCACATACCTTGTGTTCCATGCCTCTAAGTTGGCACCTTTCGTTGCCATTGACCAGTTTCCCTCAAGGAGATCAATGCTGCCCCCAACCATGGATGGCGAGGTGGACGTCGACCAGATAGTGGAGCATCAAGTGATGCTTGTTCCTCGACCATCAGGCAGAGGGCGCCCTCCTAAACCAAGAATGCAGTATCATGTGAGATCAGACATCATTTGGATCCCAAGGAAGATCGCTGGTTCACACGAGAAGAACTTCTGGGAACAGCACCTCAAGTGATTGCGGGCTATGAAAGAGAACTGAGAGGGAAGATGCCTGCAAAATAAGAGACTTCTCAGAGGACTAATGAAGTAAAGGAGGAGGGAATGCGAGGATTTGGGTCCTCGGCAGGCCTAAGGGGCCCCAGTTGCAGCGGAGCCCGCCCTAAGTGAAGGCGGGCCTAACTTATCACGAGAGGCCTTTGACTGTCAATTTCATATTTGGGGTCCAGGCAGTTGCGACACGCCAGTTAGTTGAGTGAAGCACAGGCCGAGCAACCAAGACATTTCCACGGTCTTTTGGGCCTCTCCGAAGCATGTAGGCCCTGGACGAGAAACGCAGCCTCATACACTGACAGTTGGGAGGCCCAACCAAAAGAGGCCCAGTAGCTGCAAAGTAGCACGCAACATCCTGGGGCCTACCGGAAGCTTCAGGGCCCAAGCCAAGTCTAGCCAGGCTGCGAAGCAGGCAGGCTTTTTCCATATAGGAAAGAGCTCGCCACTCTCAGCCTCATTCAGGCACTCGCATGCTAGCGGCAGCGCTGCTGGAGCAAAGGCTCGTGGGCTGCTGCTGGCACTGAGAGGTGAGGTGCAGCACGTGCGGTCGTGCAGGGAAGAAGGGCGCTGCTGAGGGCAGCGCCATAACCCAGCCACCATAGCTGGTGGGCTTGGATTAGAGTGAGGCGCATGAGTGGTCGTCGGGTGTAAGGGAGGAAGACGTGGGTGTAAAGTCAGGGAAGGGTGAAGGATGATGATGATGATGATGTGAGGGCACATACCTTGTATTGGTGATGGTTTGCAATGAGCGACATCTTCAAGTACTTCGGGTTGTCGCTGATGTCAACAGTTGCATTGTCAATTAGTAGGCTGATAATAGTTGTGTAGGAGTAGGCTGGGCGTTGAGCGCCAAGTAGGAGAGTGAAGGGACTGGACTCTTGTGTTGGTGAGGAGAGAGAAAGATCTCCTTGACATTGGTTTTCAGTACTACGAACCTCCATTGGTGTATTATTGGTGCAATGTTGCTCTCTGGACACGGTGTAACTATCTAGCTTTCAATGTGATTGTGTAATCTGGATTTGTTATCTCGCTGTTGCTCATTTCCCTTGCAATTTGGTATCGGAGCTGGTTCATATTGCGCTTCAGTGGTTCTTCGCAATAGATGTTCGGTGCTTCGCATGAGGTGTGGGGCAGTGATAAGGCTTGGGCGTTGAACGTAGGGCGGCCCAGGGTGGTGTGGGCACGCCAGGAAGCTATGTGGTGACATACGGGGTGTATGCTGGATGATGAGAGCTCGCTGATGTGGCATATTAAGCCGAGGTGGAACTGCATTTTGCTATTGGTCGTGCCGAGGCAAAGACAGGTCATCATAAATGCACATCAGGTTGCTGGTGAGAAATTTGTGGTTGGGGGCAGCATTATGAGGTACGTTGCTCTCTTCCTTGTCTACCCTCTCCATTACTTCTTACCGTGAGGAAGTGAGTCTTGTCTAGAGAGTCCTCTCGATGTGAGGTGTTGCGAGCACTCAACCTTGAGAGTCGACATTCTTCCTGGGCAGCAAGCTGGTGGGAGACGGGCGAAGCCTCTGAAGGGCCCTGGACGAAGCACTCGGGTCACGGTCACCATGCCAAGCCCCTGGGACTAGTACACGCATGCTTTGCCGCAAGTCCTTGGTTCTGCTGCTTGCGCAATAGAGGTCATGCACGTCATGCCATCCCTTTGAACAGACGCTTACTAGACCGTCTTTAAATATTCTTGGCGGGGACTCGGTGTTGACTCTGGCTGTGATCGTCGTCCTGTCTGCGACGTTAAATAATTCTTGCGGAGTTCAGGGGATCTCCTTAAATGCCTCCTGATCAGCCCGATCAAACTGGGTGTAAGGCTTGTTGCATGCGAGGGTAAATAATGTGCAGGGGCTGGCAGGTTCGGCGTTGACTTGGGGCACAGGGGTGGGCCGGATTGCACACCTTCAGACACATTGCTCAACCAGATGCCTAGGGCGTTGACACAAAGTGACAAGTCAAGAAGGATACAGCGGGAGGGGGGGATTCCAGTAACTGTTCACAGTGGCAATCATTAGACAATCTGCCATCCAGTATACATCTCCAACAGGAAATATTATTTCTATTTTTGATTATTTAGTTGTTAACTACTTGACTAACAACTTATAGACAGTTGTAGACAGATTAGTTCTTTGCTGCATTGCAATCTGTTTTAGAGTAATCTAAAAATAGATGTGATATTTCCTGTAGGATCTGACAATAGTTGTTACTACATGACCTTACTGTTTCTGTTCAGTCCGACTGAAATTAGTTGTGATTTGTAATCGGTTGTGTGTCAGGCTAAGGTAGGATTCGGTGTGGATTCTAGTTTAGATCACACACACTGTAGCTCATGAGTGATGCAAGCACTAGTGAGGAGGAGTTGTTAGTGGACGACTGTAGGACTACTCATGGAACAGCTCGCAGTCGACCTTTGACTTTCCTAGAGTTAGGTCTAGGATACGAGAGGAGATTGCGGAGAGAGGCTAGAGAGAGAGCAGCGGCAAGGACAGCGAGGGTAGCTGAGGATTGAACCACGTCTAGGATTTCAGCTAGCACCGGTACGACCATGGCTACTTCATCTACCATGTCGCAGGCCTCTTCACAGGCCATTTCGTCAGGAGTTAGTCAGAGTGGTTCTCAGGGGTCCATTAGCCAGAGTGCTGGCTTGCGAGTCAGCCAGCAGACTCAACTCATGCCGGAGGATTATGAAATCCTCCAACCAGAATAACTTCAGGATGAGCTACAACGGCAATTGGATGAGGCAGCAGAGAGCAGAAGGAGAGCAATCATGAGAAAAGCTAGACTAGGTAGTAGGACAGAGGAGCTAGGAAGATTAGAAGCATTAGATGAGTCAGCACTTGACACTGCGATACAAGCGCTGCGTAACTCGGTTCTTTGTGTGGCAGAAGCGCAGGATGTCTAGCAGGAAGTGCTGGCTGAACTAATGGCAGGCCAGAAGCAGATTTTGGCTGCACTGCAGGCTCCTCGTTCCATGATGAGGCAGCCTCAGTATGATGTAGCTCCCCCTTCGGGTGCGGGTCCATCAGTGACGTTGCCGCCGGTAGGGCCTCCATTCTCACCTATGTTTGGCATGCCCCCTCCAGGTGGTTTTGTAGCAACTAGTGGTCCGGTTCATAGGGTCTCAGTCGTACCATCGACGACAGTGGTTACTACAGTCCCACTGTCAAGTCAAGCCCAGATTAGTGTGCAGCAACCTGTTTCGGTGGCTATGCAGCCACTACAGCAAGCCCCTGGGCCCATGCAGCCTATGCAGTGGATGCCCAAAATACCCTTGCTGATTCCTAAGCCCTTTTCCGGCGACAGGAAGAAGGACGAGGATTTGGATACCTGGGTAAGGACGGTGCCTACCTATGTAAGGCACAAGCTTACCAGGCCACAACAAGAAGTTGTTGTGGCTGCCTCCTTTTTAGAAGGGTCAGCAGCCCGTTGGTTGAATGGCCTAGTGCAGCAGCAGGGCTACGGTCAAAACTTC